ATTACCATACTTCATTTTTAGGTATACTTAATTACTGTACAAACTTTCATTCTTGTAGAAATGAGGCATGTACATATATTTATTAACATGTTCAGAACATTGTTGCAAATTTAGGCAACACCGCCGACGCGGCAGACTACCGTTTTGTTTACTTGTACTATCAAAACAATAAAATGGCAGAATATCAGCTTTGTAGAAATGAGTGCACAAAAAATATCGCTGCCTCCTGGACCATAATGAGTGACAGCACATATACACAGTGACTTTCATCACCCTAACATGGCCTACTACTGAGGCAATACCTAACTATTGAACGGAGTATAGTATAGGTATAAAAATCGTTAATTTAGTGATGTTTTACGTAGATCATCTGCCTATTATAAAGCTATTATTTAGTTGCTGTTATAAAAGTCAGTCAGAGCGTACTTATAGTTGTTTTGCTTATTATTCCGATTTGCAGGAGAAAAAGTTGCTGTGAAAACGGTGCGATATTTGGATGGAAATTATTACACAAAAATCGGAATTTTAAAACTGCCAATTTCTTCTTCACATCTAATGCGGAACCTATTGAAATATTGCATCGAGGGTGTTTTTTTAAGTAACTATATAAGTGTGTTAAATGGTCGCCTTTTTCTCATCTAACCTTATTAGCTTTTAGAAAACGTAAATATGTTCTGTGTAACGTAATCAGCAGTTAAACTCAAAAGACCGAAAGACGCGTCGCGCCGCGCCGTTAAGCAATCCCCCTTTGCAAATTCCGCTAGCGACGGAAACGGTTAGCGTCGCTCTCGACTCCGAATACAAAAGGACTTTCCACATTCAACTTCCCTACTGCAGTTATAGGTGTTTATTATATTGAGTTCTAAATGACACGATGTATCTGTTTCGGCGTTACTGCTGCTTAGCGCGCGGAATAGACGTTGGGGGAGGCGAACGTGGGTAAGCGTGTAGTACACTTCCGAAGTTAATTTTCATTAGTACACTGCAGGGAGATTTATCGGGGTAGTTATCAGTACAGAAAATGGATACGCTCAAGTGTCAGTTTATTAAAGATTAACAATCCGTAACAAATAGTCGACGATATATGCCAGTGGGGGCAATAAAGCACAAGTGTTCCATTCTTTTCGCAATAGAATATTTATGCCTTAAACGAGCTTATTTTGATTTTATTTTTTTTATAAATAAACCAAAAGGAGTAATGCATCGCACCTATTTTGTAGAGAATTTCAGTGACATAGAATACTCCAGAAATTTCCAATTAGCCTCAAAAAGTTTCAAATTTAATTAAATATTTGTTCGTTGTAAATAACTATTACCTATGTAAGTACTTATTAAAATTACCTTTTTGTCTTTTACAAACACTTCACAAATTTCACAAACTTTTCACTTGATAGAATTAGGTACTTTAAAGCTCTGAGTAAAAAAATAATTGAATCTTATAACAAACTTTGGTTTAAAATTTACCCCCTAATCATACAATAAGTATGTGGGTATATAGTTTTGGCGCGCTTCGGTATATTTGATAGGTGCTTTTCTCTAGGTACATATTAGTTTTGCATACGAGGCAATAATAGTTAGGCTAAAGAGTGGAAACGTGGAGTAATAGCCTAATAGCTAAGGGTTGGAGTGGTTTTGTCTAAGATTATCTATAGGCCTTAGGTCATAATCAACTTACGAAAGTAGTGTCGAAAAAATCGACCTGCAGAAACTCACTAAAGTTTAAATAATTTCATTTAACAAGCACAAACTTTAAATAGTTAAATGGATAAGCGCGGTGTTATTAACGAACTCTGTTAAAACTAAAGGTACCGAACTGAACGTAGTATAATAACACTTTTACTTTCATCACAGATCAGTTCCGAGTTGGGCAAATCGAAATAAAATTGATTCAATAATTCGTAAAATCGATTAAGTAAATTAAAAGGGCAGATTACGTCTTGAACACGTAATGAGACGTTAAAAGGACCCGTTCCGGACGACCAAACGTTCACTCTAGTGGAAGCGTCTAACGCGTCTAGCACCTGAGTGCGTTCGAATCCTTCGCGAGGTGAACTGATAACGTGCCACAATCCATCATGTGTAGCAACCCTCGTACCTTTTGAGGTGTGTGCAGATGTCAGTTCTCGTCGCGTACGCCAATGGTGTACAAGTTCGCGCGCCGGAACCAATCGTGAACTCCGAGGGTTGGTTCCAGGACATCGATTATACCGCCGTAATTGCTCATTCGTCCGGAAGGAAACTCCGCCGAGTAGAGGGCGCCACGTTTTCGCCCTTCCGATACACGAACCCTTCGCTTGGGGGTGTTAGTGTCGAATTTCTAAAGGGGAGCGCCATTTCTAACTTTGGCAGATGGTATCTAACAGTTAGCGCAGTAATACATTATTTATTTAGATAATGCGGCTCTTTGTGATTGGGCCTATAACCTGTCGATCAATTTTAAAGTTAATCTCCCCATTATGCAACGCACTGAATATTTTAGTCATATTAGTTTGTAGAATATGAACCTATATTAATTACATTATTCTCTTCATCTGGCTGCAGAGAGGTTTCCAGTTAAAACACACTAGGTACCTACTCGTACTTATCCGTATATAGGATAGGATAGGTATAGTCGCCTTCTACAAATACGAATATAACTAACATGATCTGCATGCATTTAATGCACCTACTTTTCTATTACAATAATAAGTAGGTGCGCAATATTTTGTTAACCAATTATATTACCTAAGGCTTTTGTTCCAAAATAATTATTCGTTATTATATAAAGTTGAGAAATGAATTATAGAGCGATTTATGTTACGCACAAAAGGGAAGGATTTCTAGAAACGGTTTTTAAATCCAATAACCTGCAAGTTATATTTTATCCTAAAGAAGTATAGATACATTACCTACTCGTATATCTTTTAAAATTTTAATCATCTATCGGACACTTTTTTCTGATTTAGTTAAACGAATGACGGTTGTCACTTGTCCTTATGCCGCTTTTTTGCGTAATTGTGGTAGCTGACTATTATACTCGAAAACAGGTGTCGAAGTTTGTAAAAATTAGCACATTTTATACTGGGTGCCCATTATGTATGGAATGTAGTATATACTCGGTAAATATCGACCATAGACAAAATTTTTTATATGAAAGTTGTTTAACATTTGATTTCCCATAAATTAGGCAGTATTCCATTGTTTTTATTTCAGTAAACAATTGAATTTTTTTAAATAGCAATGCACACTTTGATTAGGCTCATTTGAAAGAAGAAATTAATTTTTATTTCAAACTTTTTGTGAACATATAGGTAAATGAAATTAGCGGTGTTCCCTTATATGTACAATGTATCATCACTTACTTTGTGAGCCGATTAGGAGAATTGTAAAGAAACGTGTGTTCCCCTGTCGGCCGTAATTAGGCAGAAACTTATCCAGACACTAGGTATACCTATAAATGGGAGTTTGGCAAACCCGTAGGTACCTATGTATTAGAATGTCATAAGGTAACGACCGTAAGCGTAAGCGGCGTTTATTCAACGTTAATTAAATAAATATAGTTTAGGAGAGGTGACTTTTAATTGTTGGGTATCTCCCAACATCACAGTCTCAAATCGACACTCTCAATTTTGTTTTTTGAACGCATACCTAAATTGGTTTTTAGGATCGAGTACAAACGAGAACTCCAAACAACGCTTTTACCTCACCGTTGGGAAATGGTAGAAATAGACAAAAATTCACAATTCCCAAGAATAGTTCAACGTTATTTTTCGCTGAAACAAAATTGAAATCATGCTCAAAATTTTCATATTTGTGGAAGTCAAATAGCACATGCGCAGAACTTAACTTCCGTTAACAGTCTTACATCTGTGTTTAGCAGTATATTTCAATATATGATTCCAAGGTATTTATTAGAATAAAAAATGTATGCTTAAAAAAATTTTTTGTAACAGTGTGAGATGTCTGATTTCAAAAAACAAACTTGAAACAACGGGCACCGCAGCGTATACAGGGTGGCAATTTGAAAACTTACCACCCCCCCATGTTTTAGTAAATAAACGAGATATTTTAAAATATCAAAATCCGTTTTGGTAATTCGGAGGGGGAATCACAATGACATAGTTGGCGACGCACCCCCTGCGCCCCAGTCACCCCAACTTTTAAATCTTAAATAGTGACCCCCCATGTGTGATACGTCGTTGGAAAGCTCTGAAGCAATGCTTTTCAACCATACCAAATAGCATTACATTTAGGTTAGTAATTATCCTGCAAATCAAAAAATAAACTAATATGATACGTTTGAAATCTGTCGTATTTAAAACGCAACCGGCGAACATAGACGAACTAAGACAGATAATAATAATTCAAGAATGTCGAAATATTGCAAAACCAACATTTGAAAAGGTTCGACAAGAGTTTCAGAATAGATTATACTACTGTCTTACCAATAACGAAAACCATTTTGAACATTATTGAAATAAAAGCCAACTTTAGAAAATGTATCATATTAATTTATTTTTTGATTTGCACGATAATTACTAACCTAAATGTAATATGCTATTTGGTATGGTTGGAAAGCATTTACTATTTAAGATTTAAAAGTTGTGGTGGCTGGGGCGCAGGGGGTTGGAGGGGGTGCGTCGCCAACTATGTCATTGTGATTCCCCCTCCGAATTACCAAAACGGATTTTGATATTTTAAAATATCTCGTTTGTTTACTAAGACATGGGGGGTGGTAATTTTTCAAATTGCCACCCTGTATAGAGACACCGGTGGAAATACATTAACCTCGAAACAATGGAGTCACAGTCCAACAATGTAAGAATTTCGATAGCCGCAACTTTTAAAACAATGACAGCTTGTTATGTGAAAATGAAAATAGTTTCTTGATCTAGTTTTTCTGATTT